CTGCGGTAGGACAACAAACACAAAAGCACCTGAAGATGACAGAGGTATGTGTATAATCCAGACACCTTTTAGGCACAATCGAATCTTCGTTTAACACCCACTAATGACACGACCGTTCATCCACAGATTTTGGAAGAGCTCAAGAAAATGAAGGACGTAGCCCTCCCTATAGCGGCCATCAACATCATCTCTTACATGAAATCCATGGTCTCCGTCGCATTTTTAGGCCGTCTTGGCCCCCTAGAGCTTGCGGGCGGTGCACTAGCCATCGGTTTCACCAATATAACAGGCTACTCGGTCCTTTCAGGCCTTGCACTTGGCATGGAGCCCATATCTTCTCAAGCCTACGGTTCTCACAACTTCGCATTGCTCTCTTCGACCCTTCGCCGTGCAGTTCTCATGTTACTGCTCGTCTCCGCTCCTATAGCTGTCCTCTGGCTTCATCTCTTGCCTATACTCTTATTACTGCAACAGGATCCTTCAGTCGCTTCTGTTGCAGCTCAATACTGTCTCTTTTCACTCCCTGATCTTATCGCAAACTCCCTTCTTCAACCAATACGAATTCACCTTCGATCACAGGGCAACCCTCAGCCTCTCATGTACTCCTCCTTGCTCTCTTCTCTCCTACACCTCCCCCTAACCTACTTCCTGACCAAAACCCTGGGTGTCCCTGGTGTTTCCGTCGCAGCATTCGCTACCAACTTCAACACGCTACTATTTATTCTCGCTTACATGGTCATCACCAAAACAAGTGCTGACCACAAGAGCGAACACCTCTACGACGCACTGCCATCAAAGGACACTAGTTCACTGAAATCAGGTTGGGGCCCGCTCATCAAACTAGCGCTGCCAAGTTGCCTAGCAGTTTGTCTTGAGTGGTGGTGGTACGAACTAATGACATTGGCTTCTGGGTACCTGAGCAACCCCAGAGTCTCACTGGCAGCATCAGCAATTGTCATTCAAACGACCTCGCTGATGTACACGCTGCCAACAACGCTGAGCACCACCGTGTCGTCCCGGCGTCGGAAACGAACTCGGTGCAGGCCGGCTAACTCAGGCCCGTGCCGCCGGCTGCGGGGGCTATGGGCTTGGCCGCTGCAGGCTCGTGCATAGCCTTGCGTGGCGCCACATTGGGCCGAGAGGCATGGGGGAGGGTGTTCACAGATGACACAGAGGTTCTTAAGCTGACGAAAACCGTGCTCCCGATAATTGGGCTATGTGAGCTTGCCAACTGTCCACAAACAACAGGGTGCGGAGTCTTGCGCGGCAGTGCAAGGCCCTCCACCGGAGCTGCAATAAACTTCTACTCATTCTACGTAGTAGGGGCACCGGTGGCCTTGTTGCTGGCTTTTGTGTTCAATCTGGGCTTCGTTGGGCTATGCATCGGGCTTCTAACAGCCCAGATAACTTGTGCAGCGCTGATAGGGGTGGTGACATGGCGAACAAATTGGCACAAGGAGGCGATGAAGGCAACGGACTTGGTCGGGAGAGGGGAGGAAGAAAATGAGGAGGTGGTCAAGATGGTCAAAGAAGAAGGCTCGATAACCGTCGCGGGGAGAGGAGGAAGCGGTCAGTTTCTGGAAGAGGCGTCGGGTGCCGGGGACGTTGAAGGGGGCGGACGGTAAAGAGGAGACCATTGGATAATCGGACCTGTGACTGGAATAATTCTGTTCACGTAAATGTTCATAGGCATCATTTACATATAGTTGTGATAGTAATTGTCTGTATTTTCGTGTCTGCGTGAATTTGATAGCAGAATATTAATATAACAACATCTTGTGCGAGAGAAATTGAGGATATTAAAAAAAAAATTATGAAAAAGGAAATAATGTAGAAATATAAATGAATTGACAGCTTAGACATCAGACTACACTTGTAGTTTATTGCCAATTCTAGCTACAGAAGACTTTTTCTCACAAACTTTTCATCCGTGTTAGCTTCCTCCTCAGGTGAGTCTCCTAATTTACCACGTAACCACCTCAGGTGAGTCTCCTCCTGCTCCATCAGAGCACCCGCCTCAGATAAAGACTCCTCACGCGTGAGGATTCCTCTCACAAAGCTTCTTTCCATTTTTTCATCACAGACCTCCGAGTCAAAACTCCTGACCGGTGCGGTAGCTGCTAAAGCGACAAGCACTCGGTCTTACAAGCTTTCACGTCCTGAGTTTACCCACACATCCACCTCAATTCCCACTTCCGCAGAATCCAGCTCTTCTTGATAAGCCTCGCGAGAGAACGCTGCGTAGCCTAATACGGTAGAAAGCTAACATGGGACTCTAGCGAATCGTGTGGGCACGCGACACAGCGTCTCGCTGTAGCGACATCACGAAGCAACCTGTAAATGTCAGCAAAGTGCTGCATTCCCCCGAACAACTGGGACTCTTTTGGTTCTGGGACAGGAGCTTTTTGTGCAACAGTCCAAATTGAGGAGGTGGGGGCTGGTTCAGTCTCCCACGGCTCGCCCAGCGTTCCGCCCCCATGGTCCTCAACCGGACGCTTCTACATCAGGATCACGGCGCGTAGGACAAATAGAAAGGAGGGAGGGAAACCGAAAGGCAAGCCAGCCTCGTCATCCGAGCTTTTGTTTGCCCCCGGGTCTCTGGAGTCTTTTTTCGAACCGGCTGATGTTTTGTAGTTTATACTCTGAAGGACCACAGGATCAGCTTGGAAACGCACGCCTCGCGTGTTTGTAACCATTCGGGGCTGCACACCTGTACCATTTCAAAAGGTCGACCCCTCGACACGAGCTTATTGCCAGTGGGTTGTTAAGATGGTTTCGTTTTGGAAGCACTTGTCACCCAACTTGCACAAAAAGTCGTCCAAATGTTCTAATTCTTGACTAAACAGTCTTTAACAATACAACACATCGACAATGTCGATACTGACTCGTCTGAGAATTTAGATGTTGACAAATGGAAGATTGGCCATATTTGGTATAAGATCCCGTGCCCGAAACAAGCAGCTAGGAGTCTGCCTCCCCGGTCTTAGAAATTCCGTCAGAGTACCGTCCTCCTCCTCCCCTTTCTCCAGGAATATTCGCCTTCAGTATCACCAAGACGGTCTGCTCTTTCGAGTGCATTGGTCTAATCTAACATACGGGTTACTTTCAGTGAAAGCTGTGTCATTGAAAGTAGGCATAAATTGGTTGAATGACCACCCTGTTCGCCTATGACGTCTCAAAAATCTAAGGGGGGAAATATCAATGAAGATTGATCCATGACCATGTCAGCGCACGGTCGTTAAGTTTTTAGATTCCTTTCAACCACTCTACGCATTGAAAACATTACTGAATACAGCACGCTTAGAACCAAACAATACTCTTGCATAGCTTCATAATTAAATCTTCAGACAGATTTGAAGAGTGTGGTGAAGGCAAAGAATAGAAGATGCAAACGCAGAAATGGTTCAACCCTGAATTTGAAAATATAAGTTAAAAGAATAAATTGCTCGAAGAAGCTCTTGTCGATGGGTCATGATTATTAGTTGAGAGGTCAAGGTTTCAACCTTAAAAAGGAAGTGCATAAATGACCCCCTTTGGTGTCTATGTTAGTACGGGCTAATGTCTCCCCTCTGCAGAGGCAATTATAGCACATTTTAGTACACGTTACTTGCATTTTGTTTTTTTTCACCGGTTAGATTCACTACCCACAAACAAAGTATCATATTCCATAAATTAGCCCAAAGAAGCAGGTGCTGACACTCCATAGGCCCAACTGCATTTATATATTATGAAGAATCAAAAAGTTAGCCACAAACATAGAGATACAACAGAGTAAGAACAAGATATATTATTAATGACATTCTTTTCTCATAAAAGAAATGATTCCAAAGTGATACAACAATTTCTTATAGGTAGACGTAAACTGTATAACAATTCCCTCAATTCAACTGCCGAAAAATGATTTTACTCAGAAAGTTGCATAATTTACCTTGAAACAGTCTTCTTGAGGCACAAGAGTTGTCCACATTTTACCCTCCTTATTCAAGCCGTTCCATCTGTATAAACAAAAGACAAAAGGTACTTATCTTCCAAGTTATAGATAGGCCTCACATAGATCCATAACATTTTGATTTTGTGGAAATATTTCATAGATTAGAAGGCAGTTTACATAGATTTCATAAAACTCGTATTGAGAAACTATACGTTGATTTTGTGGAAATTCACGCTACATTTTCTTGATATTTCTGATCGAAATTTTAATGTTGTGGTTACTCTAGAAGGAACTTGAGATCCATCTTGAATAGTTATTAATTTCAATGATCTTATATATATGGAAATAATGAGTATGAGGTGGCAGCTCATTTTGCTAACTAAACTACCAAGGGATCGTCATGTGATGAGGCAATCAAAATATTTCAAAGCAGATATTAAAGCATCAGGAGAAAGAATTGTCATCATATGATTTTTTTTACTTTTTATTTTTAGTAAATGAATAAATTTACTAATGGAATGAAAGTATAGAACAAAAGCTCAACAGAGCAATGCAAGATAAAGCAACAGCTTACGAAAAAGCTAACAAATCTAATTATCAAATATATCTGGTCAAAACCTCCCTCTTAATGGGGAAAACCATATATCTAGCATCAAAAGACTTTCGTGCAAAAATCCTAATGTTTCTCTCACACTATACGTGATACACCACAACAACAATACTAGCTTTTAGAATTCTCATCATATAATTTTATGAAGGTGGTGATGATCCATAAATACATCAGGTAAATATTGGATTTTCTTGTTTACGTGAATGACTTCCTTTCTGATATTTTGCCATATAGCCACATGTCCTCAATGGATTCATTGCATTTTAGAAGTAATCCTGGCACCAAATTCTGAAGCAATTTAGGTTCTATGCATTACGATTTAGTTTCTTTAGGGAACAACTCTGTATCTGAATGTTTTTAAAGCGTCAAGATTTAATATCAATAACACCTTAATGGTTTATTGAAAGCTGAAAAAATAAAATTCTTCAATTCTTTCTCCTCATGGTTTCATGCAAGTGATTTTTGGCCTTTGATTATAAGCTAACACTCCAAGTGAAAACTTCTCAGGAGGTTATCCATCCTAAAATTGCTCCGTTTAAACTCTCACTTAATTATGAAACTTTTCGGTTCGTCAGAACTAATAAGAGAAACTTAAACATTTGTGTCATCAGAACTATTAAAAGAACCTTCTAGCATCTGTCATGTGAAAAATTTGCCATCTTTGGGATTAGTACACTATCCCCGTGATAGAATTTGGCATTTTTGACAGGTCAATCAATCAACCAGACAACGTAGGATTCTAGAGGTGCTTCGTACTGATTCAAAAGATGGCGCCCAACCAAGCATGGAGGTGCAGTGAACTATTTTCATTTGTACAGAACTTAGTATTATACACTTTTGAACGATGTTACTCTTAGACCGTGGGTGGGAACTTTTACAGGAGATCACCACCCTGACATGGCTTTTTGAGCTTGCTTAGTTACAATGTTTTTCCATAATACTCTTGAAAACTGCTCGCTTATTTCAGTTCATAGAAATTATTATATATTAAATAACCATGTAAATGTTTGAGAAAGTATATATTGAGAACTATGGCCCCGTGTTATCAAGGTTCAAAGCGCAATTTGGGAAGCAAAGTCCCTTACATGCAGTCATGCGCACCATTAGAAAGGCCAAAGGCGGTGCACGCACCACAGTGAAGTGAGGCGCACACTCAAACAGTCAAGTACTCAGGTTCATTAATACATTAATTAATTAAACTCAAATATCGATATGCAGGAGGAAACAGGGTTATGTTCGCTAACAACAATACCAACAGTCAAGTACTCATTAATAAATTAACTAAAATAAATTAGCTATCAAACTGAAGTACTCAATAACAGTGAATTATTAAAGCTGCTCCCCTAACAATGCCATTAACTACTCTACAATTTCATATTGTTTGAGATATTTCAGTCAATCATCACTAAGCTCTAGCATTATAAGTCTATGACAAGTTTAAAATTAATTTTTTTCTAAAAACATGGTTGAAAACAATGTTTTCATAACCCACTAAGCTCTAGCATTATAAATGATACACTATTTTAGATCGCCAGCAATCAGGTATCGGATTGCATAAACATATCATCAATAACAACTTCATGATTTTGCTGCAATTTTCAATCGCACTTTTCGATGTCGTTCTTCCCAACAACAAAGATTATTCAATAACTTCATTTCTTTATTGTGAAGGACATAGCACTTAATCATCTTATGTGTGGTTTACCATATATTTTAATGAAGGCCAATAAATAATCACATCCATAGCTCCATGAATTAGTTCCATAAATAATTATTTGTAACAATTTATGTTCTTCTGTAAGTCGGGATTTTCTCAATCATGCAATTGTACATATTCTTTGGATCTTGTGCCCTACAAGGTAGTCAATCTGTTTCCTTCACGTTATATATAAGGATAATTTTTTAAAAGAGACCGAATTTGATAAATATATAGCAAAAACGAATGTTTTGCCAAATATTTAGCACAATCGACCTCTTTTTGTTTGGCCAGCTCACCAAAGCTGGCCAAAAAGAGGTCGATTTTGCAAAATATGAGTTTCAAATCACACGAGACTATTAGTCCTGTCCGTGTGTGTAGTGGTTATTAACCACTGCCTAAACAACACACACAAAACCCACGGGACTAGTAGTCCCGTGGGTTTTATGCACAATAGCAGATAGAGTTTGAATGAGATAATACGCGCTTAGTCCAAATGAACCTTTTACCTGAAACTTCGCACTACTCATGGACTAATTAATTACTAGTCAATGATGCTGTGAAAGAGAGACACAATATCATTAGTCCATGATTAGTGCATGATTAGTGAGATAACAACTCTATGCACAGCTTGGGTAGTAAATATACTATGTCTCTCTTTCACAGTATCATTGACTAGTAATCAATTAGTCCATGATTAGTGCATAAAACCCACAGGACCACTAGTCTTGTGGGTTTTGTGTGTGTTGTTTAGACAATGATTAGCAACCACTAAACACACGGGACTACTAGTCCCGTGTGTTTTGAAACTCATATTTTGCAAAATCGACCTCTTTTTTGCCAGCCTTGATGAGCTGGCAAAAAAGAGGTCGATTTTGCTAAATATTTAGCAAAATGGTTATTTTTGCTAAATATTTATCAAATTCGGTCTTTTTCAAAAAATTCTCCTATATAATCAGACCTTTTCGTAATCAATCATGTCAAAAACTATTTTGAGGGAGTCCACTTGCTCCCTCAACCCTACAACACTCTATTCTCTTTGAGCTTCAAATCTAAGATGAAAACTTAGCTGCATTCTGCTAGTCATTCCTGGGTCTCAAATATCATGAAAAAAAGATCTACAGATCACAAGATGCGTGATTCAAGTCATGATGTTGGCACAAGGTTAGATGGAGTAATCCAATAGCAAGGAAAGAGGAATATGTCAGGGAAAATTACAATTTTTCTCAAAGATATTCACTGATATCTCACTTAATGAATATTTATCCTATTAGTTACAAACCAAGTGAAGGTACCAAAACGTTTGAAGGACAATGGAAACTCATATTCGGTATTTTAGTGATTTCACTAAATCTATACTATTATATTAAACGTAATAAAAAATTGAATGAAAAGAGGACATGTTCTCGTTCTTTTTTGCTTCTAGAGTGTTCCATATCATACAACTAAGTTTTTCTTTCTTTTCCTTCCTCTATCTTTTTTGTTTTCCAGAATATTCCACCCCATACAATGCCACGAACATAGGATTTGGGCTCATATAATTAAATATCTATATATTTAAGTTCTAAAAGGAATACAAATGAAAGTTAATAAGTTTCTTCAAGTAAAAATAGTAACATGTGTAGCAAAAAAGGTCAAAAGAATGTCGAAGTATAAATATAAGTTTATTTATTTTGAAATTATAAATTTTTTGCATTAAAAACAAGCGCTCTATTCTATAACAAAATAAATAAAGGTTATATAAATGATATTATAAGTGACTAGAAATCTTTTTTTTCCCATGAAAAATAAAAGGATAGTTTGTTCAGGTTTAAGATCTCACATTATAGTTAGATCTACCATGTACTTTTGACACAAAAATTTATTAAAAATATTTTTGCATCTGTTGCACATGCATATGCACGTGCGACAATGCTGGTTTCATATTAAGATGAATGGGTTTCTGGATGGTTGGATGACTTGCACTGAAGTGCTATTCAGAAAAATTTCTAGCCCAAGTCCATGCATAGACAAAACATAATAACAAGACCACAAGACTCTGGTCAAGTATTCAAATTGAAGATTGGGATTAGTAAAGAGATGGAAAGGGCAAAAGAGGAGGTGAGGCCGTTTTTTTTTTTTTTTTTGTGGGTGTTTTTTATAAAAAACGACTGTATCTCGTTTTATTTACTGAAATCGACCCGTTTTCTCGCCACATCAGCGTCGTGGCGAGAAAGCGGATCGATTATTTTTTAATCGGCTTCGTAAACTGTCGGGGTTGGCAATCCCGACTGTTTAGTCGATCGCCTGCTAACAGCTTAACTAAATGGTCGGGGTTGAGAACCCCGACCAATTCGTAATGGTCCTATTTCGAATTGGTCGGGGTTCCCAACCTCGACCAATTGGCAGAGCCCAGCCAGCGCTGGGTTTTGCCACGGACGAAATGGTCGGAGTTGGGAACCCCGACCAATTCGAAGCTCATTTTTAATTGGTCGGGGCCCCAACCCCGACCATTAAGCAGAGGCCAAGGCCGAGGCAAAAAATAGTCGGGTTTGGCAAACCCGACTACTTATTCTGGGTCCCCTGCACCGTATAAAAGCCACCGTGACCTCATTCCCCTGATCCCAGCTCATTTCTCCGCCTCCCTCTTCTCTCTTCCGTCCGTTCTCCCAAAACCAAAGCTTCAGATCTCAAGTTTGAACTCGTTTCTTCGGTGGAAATTCAAATCAAAAGTTATCTACAACGTTTTTAGGTAATTTCTTCTACTCCTCTCCTTTTT